GGGGTGCCAGTGCAAGTTATTGCTAATGTGCTTGGGCGATATGCGTTGGGAAATATTTATTTATTTGATGGGCACATGGGTATAGGGAGGTGTGTGAGGGAGAAGGTTGGATGGGGGGATGCGTTCGTGTGGTTCGGCTGTCTGTTCGTAGTGAGAGCAGGGGAGTTTTGGGGGCGTGTGAGGGTGAGGCGACCTGCTCGGACTGAGAATATGTTAGACAGTGTGGTGAAATCAGGCGCTTGTCAAAATAATGGAAATAAAGAAACTTAAACTTTTCGGCTCGCTCGGCAATTTTTATCGAAGTTGTGTTTGATAGCTCAACACCAACAGCGAAGTTTCGAAACTTTCAGATAAACCAATGTTATAATAATGATAAATATATTAACTTTAAATACAGAGTATGTTTGATATGAATCAAAATAGAATTTTGTGGTCATAACCTTATTTCAGTAAACGGTTTAGGGCAAAGAGAAATTATGATAATAATATTATAAAGGAGTTGGCGCGACTCCCTGAAGAAAAAAAAATCAAACTAGATCCAGGTCTGACATTTTTGGCCCTCTTGAGTTACTAAGACCACGAAGTCCGAAACCAAATATTTTAACTGTTCCTTTCAAATCGTAAGATTATTCGGAGTCGTTATCAAAGCGTTAAAAGAATTGCATTCGAAAAAGCTTGACATGTTGTGAAACTCCCATTTTTTTTTTTTACCATCAAATTTTTCAAAATTAGGTACTGAGCAGATAGAACTTTGTAAGTCTGAGGTAGCGAAATACTGCTGGCCTCTAGCTCAGAACAACGTCTGCCGACACATTCCCAGTTCTGGCAGAGCGCATCACAAATGTCTGTCTACGCAGTGGAATCAGGTGCTCATCAAAATCATGAAATAGAAGAAACTGACATTTTACCTCATGCTGGGTAATTATGTATTTTTTTTCTCGATTTTTAGAAAATCTCAACACATTATCTTTTAATTTATGTGTAGATTTTTCTGAAAAACGTCGACCAAAGGCAAAAAAGTACACATTGTTTTTGCAGTTTGTGATAAGTCCACATAGTGGCCAAAAGTTGATGAGCGTCTGGTTCCACCCTGTCGTGGTGACACTTAGAATGGTGCGAAGGGGAGGGAGGGGAAGGTGAAAAACGTTTGTTTGCCTGACAGGGTAAATATGACGTATGTGGAGAGGTTGGGGGGGGGGGGGGGTAGGTGTCAATAGGATATTATTATATTATTATGTTGCCATGTGGAGGGATCAGGAGGAGGGGAAGGGAGGAGAAGAGGAGGAGGAGGAGGCAGGAGGAGGGGGAGGCAGGAGGGAGCACCAAGACACGGAATGTCGAAAAGGGGAAGAAGTTGCAATGATGGACTAAGGGAGACAATTTTGTGTACGTGATGTTGTTGGAGAAAAACTGGAGCAAATTAACACCTGTTCTTGTCGAGATCCTGCGGGTACCTGCCGAAACAGTGACAGTCTATTGTCAACATCATATTACCGTGTACCTTTGCGGTAAACGTCATTATCTACTGCAGATATGCTAGACAAAATTATTTTGTCGTCGTTGTTCTTGATACAAAGATTGCAGAATTGTCTGTTTTTAGTTCTAAAAATATTGTCCAACTCCCCTACCTTTCTGGGTACAGAATATGAAATGCCGTTATCAAATTGCTGCATGGTTGTACGTACTGTGTGGGAAAACGTTTTCCAACATTCAACCTTTGTTGAAGAAAAACACACATACAAGCACATAACCACACACACACACACACACACACACACACACACACACACACACACACACACACACACACACTCACACACACACACTCACACACACAAACACACACACACACACACACACACACGCGCTGCCAACTATTGATAAGGCATCAACGATGAGTCAACTTGACCTACCTCACAGCACTCAGCGTCACGCTGATTGAAGGTGGGCAGAACAACAAAGGGTCGAAGTCACCTCGGGGTTGTTTCGAAAAAGAAAATTTACCCCCGAAAAAAAAAAGAAAAAAACCCCCAAAACCACAAAAACCCCCAGCAAAGAAAAAAAAAACTCCCTAGAAAACAAAACAGAAGAATAAACAAAAACAAGAACGACATACATGGGGGGAAGAAGACAAAAGCTGAAAACAGAAACATAGCATGATATTATTATTAATAAATAATACAAGTTTGGGGAAATGTATAAGGGACATAACCCTGCTTTGAAACCACTCACTAATTTATTTCAAGAGTTATGTAGTGTAGTCTCCCCTGACGTGTTTCGTCCTACGCCAAGAAGAACAGACTCATCTCTAAAGATACGTGACTTGGACCCTTCCTTCTTCTGCAACCTTCAGCTTCAGCAACAACGTATTCTACCTAAAGGTCATTTTGTATTTGGTCGCTTTTAAGCACAAGGGGGCTGTTCCGAAAAAAGCTGTTTTGAGAAATCGAAGGTAAAGTTGTTCAGTTTCTTTAAAAGACAAGGAGAGTTTTCTCTATAACCAAACAAATATACACACCAATTTAACCAAAGTTCTCTAAGTAGGGCAATGCCCTCTTTTGGTATAGGACAAGATTTCTGGAAACACCTGAGATCTGGGTCAGCCGCCTTGTCCTTAAAAGTGACCGTTTGTTTGTTGGTTTGCAATGTGCCGGATGTGCTCGCGGCCACCGCTGTGCCTTCTGTCCCTTGTACCCTCTCTGTGGCCCCGACAAGATATCCTGAGCCCCAGTGATGAGTTGTCCTGGGCTCTTCTGATATTGCTAGAGCGCTCCGGTTAGAGGAGGCTCGCTCACTCATACTACAACAGGGATTATTTTTTTAAACTTCTACTATTGTTTCGCTTGGCTTGATTCCGTTTTAGTTCCGAATATGATGTTGTTTTACTCTCTTTTTGTCGGATGTCTGTGTCTGTGTGTGTGTGTGTGTGTGTGTGTGTGTGTGTGAGAGAGAGAGAGAGAGAGAGAGAGAGAGAGAGAGAGTGTGTGTGAGAGAGTGAAAGAGAGAGAGGGGACAGCGGAGAAAGAAGTCCAAAGAATTTTCATATATATTTA